CCAAGAGTTTCATAACACCTCTGAGGAGCTCCTGGAGGTTCCCTCAGCCTCTTCCTTGACTTTCCCCTTCCTTTCTACCAGTCAGGCCATCGGGCAGCCTGCCCTAGGCTTAACCATTTCGGCTGGGAGACCGCTGTGCCCTGCAGTGTTTGGCAGGTGTGTGTTTGGGAGGGTTTCCCCCCCTTTTCGTGGTGCTGCATTCCATCCCTGGTAACCAGGGAAGCAGCTCAGGACGCTCAGAAGAAATGGGTTGTGGTTATTCCCAGACTTCCTCTCCACCTTGGCAGGGAAGGGCCCTTTCCAACGTCCTGGGTAGGGATGCGACCCCACAGCATTCATGCCCAAAGTCAGCTACTGGGTTGAGGGAGGCAAATGCAAGCTGACGGCTTCCAGGGCGGAAGGGTGCCTGTGTCCCAGTTCGTTGCCGTCGGTGGCCGCTGGAGTTGTGCCCCCTCTGCGGACCCAGGGTCCCAGGTGGGATCGCCTCGCTGGCACAGCTTTGGGCCGTGATGCCCAGGTGAGGCTCCTAGTTGGCTTAGGCTCAGCCTGGGGGGGTGCACCCCACATGGAACCTCGGTTGTAGTCACTCGAACCCCACCTTCGCTGTGTCTCACGTGGGTTGCTGCCTTGCCCCTTCTGTGAGCTTGGTGTGAAAGGTGTCCAAAGAGTGCAGTTATCTTGGAAGACTGTGGCTAGCCAGGCCGTCACTTCAGAGCCCCTCTGCTCCTGAGCCCCCTTTGAAATCCTGGCTGACTGTTGCCATTTTCAAAGTCTTAGGCAACAAAGGGCCAGGATGCCCGAAAAAGAGCAGTCCAATCCGAATCTGGAGTCCAGGCAAGGCACTCTCTTTCTTAGCTGGATCCCCCGAACCCAAGAGCAGTGTTTGTTTATGCAACAGGTAACACACGAAGGGGCTGAATAATTCCAGCCCCTAAGAAATTCTCTGGCCAGCCAGCCTGAAGAGCTGTTTTATGCTTTGCCTGGCTGCACAGCTTTGATTTCAGCTTTCTGTTGGACGCCTGCTTTTATCTTTGCTCTTTGGATTTTTTATGGATTAGGGAACTGTATAAGGTTCACTTGCTGAACAGAACTAAGCATTTTGCCCCAAGAGACTGGGGTTCAAATCCTTCCTAGAAAGATGGCCTTTCTGGCAGAGCCATGGATAAAGAGCTTGCTCATTGGCTTCCCCACCCATTGGTGTAATGGGCTCCTTTTAATGGGCAGGTGGCTGATCCTGATGGAATTGGTTGCTCAGCAGCCCTTTCTGGAAGAAGCCATGCCTCCCATGGCAGCCCACGGTTTCCTCCAGGCAGGCTGCTAATGCTTTGCAGCTTTTGGCCTCTGGGTCCTAGTTCTCGTTGAAGAGCAGAGCTGGGCTCACCTTGGCATGTGAGCAAGAGAAGATGTAGCCGTGGTGGGGCCTCCACAATGGGTGCTTGGCTCATTTCGAAGTCAGGAATGCAAAGCTGCCATATCTCGGAGGTAATCGGTGCATCCCCCTCCCCAAACACACGCACACCCTCCAGCCCATTGCAAGAAGATATTACGAGGTCCAGGTGCAGGAACGTGTGGGACAAAAGACATGGCAGCCGTTGTCGCCCAATCCTTTAGCTGAGTGTGGCTCCTGCGGATGAGCCTCTAAGGCTTTTCAGGCTCTCCCAAGAAGAGGAACGGTCTTTTCCAGCAGCCCTGCCTGGAGACCTTCTAAAGCCCGGATGAGCTCCCACTTGTTCTTGCTTTTGTTCTGTGCCCTGTTTTGACAGGGGGTGGGGTGGGGTGGGGAGGGGAGAGGTGTGTGATGCAGCAATGCTGGGGCCAGCAGCTGGGAGGTCAGCCACTCTGCGGCAGCACTTGGGGAAGCATCCAGTTAGATGCTCAGCAGACCTGTGCTGCTGGGCTGGGGTCTTTTGGTGCTGGGCACAGACTTCCTAGTGGGAAAGGATCCCTCCAGGCTATGTAAGAACCTGACTAGGAAAAGGGGGTGGGGGGGCATGAGTGGTAGCATGAAGGCACATGAATCCTGGTGAGAAGACTTTGGAGGGCACTCCATCCTTACATGTGCCCTTTTCTTGCAGAAATGCCACCCTGTGGGTGGCACCACTGCCTCAGGATACCTGGAAGGCCAGGAAGGGATGGGGTCTTAGTGCCACTAGCGCCACCAGTCTTGTGTGTGATAGCTCCAAGCCCCCTTTGGCTGATAAGGATGGCTTTGAAGACTAGGCTGGTAAAGAAGTGGACACAGAGGCGTCCACTTCACTGGACAGGGGAATACGGGGAGCAGGAGGGTGGGGTAAGCATGAGTTCCACCCCAAAAGGCAACCAAAGGAAACACACACACACACACACACACACACACACACACAAGGCATGTAGAGTGCATTCTTATAGTATCTTGAATGTACAGCCCCTCTGAATCCTTTTGGCTGTCTGAGAAGACCTTCAGCAGGAGCATCTTTCTGATGAGAAGCCTCAGGTCTCCTCCCACCACAGGTAGGGAAATACAGCTGCATTTCTAAGCCACCTCTTCCCTGCCCAGCTGCCTCTTGGCCAAATCCCAGCACCACTCTATAAATGAATGGCCCTTCTGGAGAGAATAGGTTTCTCTTACACAGCCAAGCTGAAATGGTCACTTTGGAATCCTTCAGCAGGGGAGAGAGGATGGAATCGGTTTGACTGCTTGACGAGTCTGCATTTGGTTGGTTTTTTACTCTCTGTATAACCACTCGCGTAAGGAAGAGGGAATTCTTTTCAATGTATTTGCGAAGGCTTTTACGGCCGGGATCTAATGGTTGTTGTGGAATTCTTTTCCCTTATGCCTTGGCAGAAATCTGTCAGAGGAGCCCTCAGGCCAGACCATGGACTCCTGTCATTCACATCTCTTTGCCCACCCACTTTTTGCATACACTTTGATACAACAATTCCCTTGTTTACTCTCTTTCACCCTGGCAATTTCACCCCAGGATGGACACACACACACACGCACACACACACACACAGAGAGAGAGAGAGAGAGAACTGGCTCAGAACTTCACCTCCTAACCCTAACCTTAAACTATCCCCCCCCCTTGTTGTCAGTTGACAAAGGGAAAAAAAAGACTTCAGCCGTGTAACGTAAAAGACACAACACCAAAGGAAAGGGTTTGGAAGGCATGTGGAAAAATGCTTACTCGGGCACCCTCTCTTAGTTTCAAGGTCTTGCCAGGACCAGCTAGAATGGAACTTCATTAAAAGAGAGGATGAGCCCACTTGCCTGGGGGGGGGGCAGAGAGTGTCCTAGGGAATGGCCAGACCACCTCACTCTCCCTCCCATCTCCTGCTGCACTGGGATGGGATGGCTTTGGATTGGGACTTGTGGGGGTGGGTGGGAAACAATTGGGTCTGCTGCTGTATTTCTGCATTTTTATTTATTTAACAGACCCCCACCTTTTCCCCATCACAGGGACCTATGTGGGTTACCAATGGTTAAAAAAGCAGATGCGGCTAAGAATATAATTCTATAATAGTACAACTCAATTGAACCCAGTGTCATATCAAAGCAACTACCGGATTTTCTCCACTTTTCGGTTCTGCCCTCTAAATCTGCCCCTTGGATCTGCCCACCCCACCCCACTTGGGCTTCCTGGCCGTGATGGGCCTCCGTGGGTGAGCGAGGGTGTCCTCCATGTCTCCCCGCAGGCCTCCTGCAGCTCTGCTCCACTGCCCTCGGCCTGGAGGTGTCGGTGGGCAAGGCACCGGTGATCTATGTGCAGAACGGCACGGACGTGCTCCTCCCCTGCACCTTCACCTCCTGCATCGGCATCGAGAACACGAACTTCACCTGGATCTACAACCACACCGAAGTGCGTCTTGCCCAGCGAGCGGGCGGGGGCAGGGCAGGAGAAAAGGTCCCCGGTCAGCTGACCCTTTACGGCTGGTTCCTTGCTGGCCCTGCTTTGTCTTCTGACTGGCAAAGGCTCGGGTATTTTTGCTACACGTGCCAGCCCGTGATATGGCACAGAACGGTGGGCTGCCCATTTTGATAAATGCCTCCCCACCACCATGGGGCAGTTCGGCCGGACTCCCACTGGGGGGAAAAAAACAAAACAACCTCCCCACCAGACCCTTTGCACCAGCTTTCTCTGGCTAGGGATGGGTCCCTTAGTGCCAGGGGCAGGGG